AAGTTCAGGTGGAAGTCTCGCTTTAGAGGTTCCTCCTGCACTTCTCCTCCTGGCCATTTCACTTCTCCCAAGCTTCTCCCTTCAGCACCCCCCAGTCAGTCCAGATTGAATTTTTGAATATTATTAAGAATATCCCTTTTCTGATAGAAATATTTTATCTTAGCACAAACAGCTTTCCAATGTTCCCGTATTTGTCTGTACAAATTGGACAATGATCTCAACAGTTTCTGATCCTTCCAGCTTTACATCTTCCCGTTCATAGACACATCTTTTGTACCATATTGGGGCTAGCCAGTAGGGCGGAAATAGAGTACAGCAGCGGTGGAGATGGTAGCTCTACCGCAGTAAGTCTTCCCGGAGTAAGGCTGAGATGGTTTTTTTGGTTGGATGTCTGCGGCCAGTGCCTGAAAGAGTGGATGATTGGAACTACAACTATGGCGACGATTGGTGGCTTGTCTGGTATCTGCTGATGTCCTAGGTCCCAGTCGTTTACGAATGGACGAGGTAAGAACGACACTGGTCGATGCTGGGGCTTGGTCGCGCTGCCCTGTAACCTGAGCGGTACGGGGGCATGAGACCTGGTAGAGAGATCTGGGGAGTTGTCGAGGGGGGTGGGTATCCTGATGTCCTTGGTCTACGGGGTTGTCATGAGACTGCTGGGTGGCTTGCATAGTCCGGTTTACTCGAGCCCAGCAGAGCACAGCTACAGACTATTTCACAGTGTAGGTCAATAGGTTAGGTCACTTGCACAATTCACATAAGGTCCTGTGTCCGATACCAGACTGTATCTTAGGGCTGGTCATCCTCTTCGTACGTGATCAAAGGATTGAGCTTGGCATAGCAGTTCCTTAGTACGGGATGTGGGGAGTGTCAGGAGATAGTGCACTTTATCGCAGGGCGAGAACAGGCTCCAAGGACATACGAGGGAACAAAGGATTGTCTGCTCTCAGATTACCATACAACATAGGGCTAAGAGATTATCCAGGGTCAATACATACAGTCCACGACACGATTGAGGGTGGGCTATGGGCTATCCTCCTAGTACGTACCTTAGATTTGAGGCTGGCACAGCAGTCCGTAGCACGGACATCGGGGGTGTCAGGAGATACTGCACCTTATCGCTGGGCCGGAATGGGCTCCAGGGATATACGAGGGAACGGAGGATCCCCATCTCTCTACCATCAACATCATAGTACACTGTAATAAAAAGACAACATAAGGATAAAGAAAGAAACTCAGTCCATAACTCATGACCTAGGGTTGGCTATCCTCCTAGTACGTAGCATAGGGTTGAGGCTGGCATAGCAGTTCCTTAGTATGGGATGTCGGGGGTGTCATGGCCGGAACGGGCAAAAAAAAAAAAAAAAAAAAAAAGGGGTGCGTTATAGTTTGCAGCCCTGAGGGCTGTGGTGTGGTGCGGCCCGGCTTTGCGGCGAAGGGGCTAGCCAGTAGGGCGGAAATAGGGTACAGCAGTGGTGGAGATGGTAGCTCTACCCCAGTAAGTCTTCCCGGAGTAAGGTTGATATGTTTTTTTTGATTGGACATCTGCAGCCAGTGCCTGAAAGAATGGATGATCCGAACTACAGCTATGGCGACGATTGGTGGCTTGTCTGGTGTCTGCTGATGTCCTAGGTCCGAGTGGTTTACGAATGGACGAGGTCAGAACGACACTGTTTGATGTTGGGGCTTGGTCGCGCTGCCCTGTAACCTGAGCGATACGGGGGCATGAGACCTGGTGGAAAGATCTGGGGAGTTGTCGAGGGTGGAAGGCACTCTAGTGTCTGTTAGTGAACTGATAGGAGCCGGGGCGGGTCGCTTTGCCCTGTCGCCTAGCAGGTGGGGGGTTTCTGGGGTGGGTCGAGCCACTCTGTAACCTAGCAGTTGGGGGTGGGAGGCCTGGTAGAGATTGGGTATCGGGGTATAGGGGAGAGGCGGATAGGGTTGAGCTGCTGACAGTTGCTAAAGGCAGGTGGTTTTCGGTCTGAATATTCCCATGATCAATCCTTAGAGAACCTAACTCTCTGTGTAGATTGCACAGCTATCATCTTTAGCCGAAGCCGGGTAATGGCCCCGATAACTCAATTTTTGTTTTTTTACATAATCTTCTCAATATGTTTCTGAATAATGGGATGTTGGGTCCAGTTCCCAGCACGTGTTGCTCCCCACGAATAGACTGGAGCATGTCCAATTCACAAAAAAAAAAAAAAAAAAAAAAAGGGGTGTGGTGCGGTCCGGCTTCTTTGTCAAGATGCCCGAATATTGGCGGTGGACGACCTTTTCAAAATAGGGCATGTAGGGGTCCAAATTTCGATATGACCGGTCCTTCCAGTGCTTGCGGATGACTGACAGGCCCTACCGGTAGGTAAGCATTTCAAGGGACTGATCTCACGCGTAAGTCCCATTTCGAGGGACCGATCTCACACATAAGTCCCGCTCCTAGTGGCACTTGGAGGGACCAATGGGTGGCCATAGGATGGCGTGGTCCAAACGACGGCTGCACCCAGGTCGAAACCGCGCTTGCAACAGGTGTGTTTCCCAGGCAATGCATGGTATGATTGACTTACAGTGAGGACACGGGTGCGCAGCCTGTAGTTTGTATGTGCGTGAGCAATGAACAAGGTTTCATCATCCAGGTTCAAAAGCAGATGGGGGGGGTGGGGAGAGAGAGAGAGAGAGAGAG